TGAAGTTCCCTAACACGCGCCCCGCCTTCATCCAACTCTTCTCTGTCGGTTGACAATCACCAGACATGATTCAATGACTCATTTCATTGATTTCTAAACTTTTCAAGGAGATTTAAAGATTATTTATGTCATCCTTGTCCAAAAAGAGCTTTCAAGGCTATAGACACTACACTACGATCCTTTTGAACGTTTAGGATTCTAATACATCGGCGACGCATCACTGCACGATGTTGGAACTTTGCTTTTCTACTTTCAACTTAATTTTTACTTCATTCAGTGATAATTTATAGAATTTAAATTTACTAAGCTATACTTCATTTATTTAGAATTCTTTCGACTTTTATAGATCTTAATTTGATCAATTAAATTATCTATAATTACTTACATAAAAATCGTCGTGTGAAACTTTATTTTTGTCTAATTTGCATTCGTCGGGCATTGATGTCATCCTGACGTCCACACCCATATTTTCTTTTTGTGAATTTTAAATATATTTTATTTTTATTTCTTAATATAAAATTTATAGAAAATAATATTCTTTGAAAAAATTTCTAAATAATTATCTAATATTATATTATATCCTTGTGATAGATTTAGAAAATTACCATTATTTTTTAAAGTTTTATTGAATTATAATTAATATATTTTTTTAGAAATACTTCTAAATATCTAAAAATTAGTATTTTCTAGTTTTATAAATTTTAAATTTGTGTGATTTACTATACAACGACTAAGTCATGTCAGGCATCTTACCTTTTTAGGGCTACATATATAAAATCCCTCACATTCTAACTTAAATGTATCTTTAAAGTATTATGAGTTTTTCTCACTTTGAGTTATCTCTTCTCTCATGTGGATTCAAGGGAATCATCTCAATCATGTGGATTCAAGAACCTCTTATAATATATTTGTGCATTAAAATGTTGAAATTGATAGTTTTGTGGATATAGATCCTAGTTTTTTACCAAAATTTAATTCTTCATGGATTTAATGTCAATTTTGATATTTTCCTTGCATCAACACTATGTCGAAGTTTGACATCTAATCACTGAAATAATTTTTAGACCACTTTTACAGATTTTTTAAAATCCTCATCATTTGAATGATCTTTGATAAATAAACAAAATGCAATAAATAGAACTAAGAAATTTAAAAAATGAATTGATGAAGATTATGTAATATTTATATATAGTTTCTTAAAATAAATTCTAGGTGAGAATGTAATAACAAATTATCTATGTTTAGTTGTTAACATATATTACAAATAATGTTTAATGCCAAAAATCTCATCTTGTTAATGTGGAACTTTGCCCCACACTCAACAATGATCCATCCACTCTTATGTCCATTTGTGCAAGCTTACACACCCTTAGAGGAGCCTAAAACGAATCTAATATTTTTTGGTGCTAAATGCATTTAAGAAGCTTTCTCAAAAAACTTTTAACTATTAAAATAATCGAATAAATATATGTTCCTCCTAAATATGTTAAAAAACATGCATGGGAACTACATCAAGATGACCCTTTGATAAGGGGAATTTTTAGTAACTTTTTTTATTAGAATTGTAAATATTTATAATTCTTGGTCGAACTAATTCATGGTATTGTGGGCTGAACTATATAATGCATCACACATAGGTTTGATAGCACTATGAACTATCTATAGGAGGAGAAACACTGCTGTGGTAGGCTACTTAGTGGGTTGAGCCATAACGTTGGTGGAATGACAATGGCATGATAGGTTATGTCATTGTCTAGAGACATAAGGTTGTTAATATATTAATGGGTTACAAAACTAAAATAGTTGATAAAGTCTGTATGTACTTAATTTTTGTTGAAATTATAAAAAAATTGAAAGAGGGAGAAGCTCTTGGGATGTTGAATATAGCTCAAGCCAAACTACTAAAAATTTGTGTGAATGAATATTGACTAGTTTTTTTGCATATCACTTATATTTAACACCAAAATGAATTAGAAAAATGAATATAATTAATGTAGTTAAATCATCTATTATAATTGCCTATCCCAATCCTAAATAGTTTGATGGAATAATCATGTTCTATCTAATTTTAGTGCATTCCTAAACTTAGATGAACATTATAGTATAAAAATCACAATGTATCGTATTAAATAGTCTAAGCCAGATTACTCCAACTTCAATTTGAAAGTTTAATTCAATAGAACTCATGATAAGGTTTATTCAACTGTCCTCCCCCCCTCTTTGACCATATTAGTCATCCTCAAAACTTTCAAATATAACCCTATTAATCCAAAAAGAGAAGGTCAATATAATGAGAGAAATATGAAGAGTTCTATTTCTATTGTGAGGTCATGGAGCTTGTACATAAAGGATTTTTTTATTGAAATACAAAGGGACAGGTTTTCAACAAATTATGATGAGATAATATGCATATTGTTTCCTTTAGTTCACTAGACAATACATACATTGATTCTAGTTTCCTTTAGTTTTTGGACAATGTGAAGGAGAAAATTAATTTTAATTATGTTTTATATATTGTGATATTGATTTAATTAAAAAATGAGAGATGAAATTGTACCATGAAACTATGTGGAAGAGTGTTTGGTTCCATTGAAGATACTTGGAAGGATTTTTTTAATAACAGTAAAATGGTGTCTAGTTCCATATTATATGACTCTTTAACTAGGTAAATAATTATTCTAAATTCTCCTAAATAGCATACTATAAAATTAAATAAAAATAAAGATATTTAATATAGAAAAATTAAAAATCCTAAGAGAAAATTACTTTTAACCATATATATCATTTAAAGGATCTAAAATTAATCACTAGGAAGATTGAATATAGTTAATTGTAAAATCTACTAAGTGAAGTCATATAAGTCGATTGGTTGTAAGATACTCGTGGTTGATTAACCATTATTATCTGAAGGACATAACCATTATTCTATAATCTAAAGTGAAGATAGTTAAGTACTAAATAGGTTCAGAACTGTGCATAATTAGAATAAGTCTATTGAGTTGTTTCGATTAACTTTTCTGACTAGAGGGATATACATAATCAAGAGGTCAATGCAAGAGGGATATACATACACAATTTTAGAGTGGTTAGACACCCAATCTATATCAACTTATTTATGTGCTGTTACTTCTTGAGTTTCTACTGATTTTGTCCAAAGATTAAACCCAGGTATTGACAAACTTTGGGTATAGATAATTATTGTCACTATCAAACCACTCTAGCACTCAAGTAACTAATGATGATATTTTTGTAAATCTTGAAGATGGTTTAGGGTAAAATGCTTGAATTGGCTAGAGGTATTAAGTTTAGTGAAGGCTAGAGAGTGGAGAAACTAAGGGCATCTTTAGAGAGTGGAGAATGTTAGATATACCAAACCAAAATAAAACTATAATATCTGTGTGAGTGGATGTAGAAAAATATGTAGAGATTATGAGAAAGTAAAATTCACCCTCCTCTCAATCACTTGTGTTATCAAGGAGATGCTTTGCGTGCCAAGTCTAAAAGAGAATTTCAGTTTTCTTTGCTAATCCATGAATCAACACAATTAATTCTTTTTGAAAAAAATTTCTTTTGTCAACTCACTTGGGTCTACAAATGGGTCTACCACCCTTGCCAAGCTTGTGTCAATTTTGAACGCCATTATTTTTATTTTGTGATTCCAATTTTCTTATTCTTATCTTCTTCTTGATGAATCCTTTTACTAATTTATGCCTGAAAATATCAATATGTATCTGTTCTTGATCATCATCTAACTATTTGTCCAAATATAATTAATCTATTTATGATTTTTTTGTTTATCTTTAATTACTATTTGTCAACATCAAAACACCTTAATCAACCTATACTAGCCTTGATAGTCAGCACTTCCAATTGTTGTTTCTCACACATTGTTAATTAAATTTCTTGAAGTTAGTTAATTGAACATTTTAATTTAATTAAAAAATAGAATTATTAAAAAATGTAATCAATGATTGACAAAGAAATTCAAAAGTTGACGTTAAAATCAGTATTTCAATTAGAAAAGATAAAACATAATTTTGACAAAGATGTCATAAGAACAAATATCTAAAATACTAAGTTAGAAGTTTAGATAGTAGGCAATATATTTTTAACATTAATAAAGTATGTTCAATAGAGCATGACACGCACAATATGAATTCAAATTATGCATATGAAAGTGTCACAATTGAGGAGTGGAACACAAAGTTTAAATTAAGTGTTAAAAGTTTAGAATATGTCCTATCAATCAAAAATTCAATAAAGTGCAATATGCCTAAAAAATATTGCATCTACTCTAACTTTAATTCTATATGAGTACCTCTCTATCTCCACCTGTCTCCATCTACCTATCCCTGTATTCAGTGACATCTCCAGTATGTCTCTTGCCTACTAGCCTTAAGGCCATTAAGAGTGCGCAGGGGAAGGGAGAGAGAGAAGATCTAGGGGTAGTGGCGGGAGGGGAAGGGAGAGAGAGAAGATCTAGGGGTAGTGGCGGGCAAGACCTGACGATGACTTCAGAGAGCAACCGAGGGTGAAGAAGCTAGTGACTTTATTCCCCTTGTTCCTCCGAAGGATTTCAATTCCCAATGCGCCTTTAGTCGGCAGTCACGTCGGGTGAAGAAACCAGAGAATGGGTGATGCAACCCTTGGAGGACTTCATTAAGTGCCTCGACGTTTGCAGAGGTCGGCTACTCGTCGTCCTTCTACCCTTGAGAGAGGCAACGGACGACGGGAGACTCCACCGTTCCCTCCCCTCCCCTCACTATCAACTCATACATTCCCGCTGCTACACAAAGAGAGTTATAACTCCAAATAAAAAATGTACTTGCACTTTGAACGATTTATGGATTCAGTGCGGATGGCCACACCAGGCACGAGAGGGATATGTAATCCCCCTCTTTCCCGATAAATTGCTTCCCCCGCCTATCCATTGGGCACCACCGGCGCCGGAGAAGAGAGCTTCTTGGGGGAAAGAGTAATAGAGGAGAGCTTCATCAGAGATGGCAGCGACAACGGCGGCTGTGGTGGCAGTGGCGGCGGTGGTGGTGCTGACGACGGTGGCCGCGGGGGCGTTGGGGGAGATTGTAGCGCCGAGGGACTACAACATATCGCCGCCGCCGGTGTACAACTGGACGACGACGCCCGAGCCGGTGGAGGACTCGCAAAGGGCGTTCCGGTGCTGGGGGTACCTGGCGCGGGGGAAGGCGGTGGGCGAGATGCGCAACTTCCTGGTGAACGGAACGCTGCCGTCGAGCAACACCTGCGACGGCGTGAACCGGCTGCATCCCTACTGCTGGCCCGATATGTTCAACATCTTCTGGCAGGTCACCCCCCGCCGCATCCACCGCCTTCGCAAGTTCTGCCTCCAGAACGGCACGCTCCCCCCCGCCGACCGCTTTGACTTCGCCTAACCTCAATCCACCATCCATCGTCGTCGAGTGTCATTTCCCCACAATAACCTGTCACACCATCTTACAGTGAATAATGGTCCTTTCCACTTCTAAGACCTGGTGGACGATACATGTGCAACGTCTGTACCAAGCATGAAGAACATCAAACACATAATGGAGATCCTTGAATATTGGGTCAGGGATGCTTGGGCTGAACTCAAGCAGACGAACATGCATAATTTGAAAAGAAAAAACTCCAGATAATGGGTGCAGTAGAAAATGGAAAACAAGTGGGGACAAAAGTAGGATCAGGCAGGAAAATTTCGAAAAAAGAACTGAGAAAGTCAATCAACATTCAGGAAACACCCTTCTCTCAAGCTAAGATGAGGGATCCTCCTAGATTGTTCTATAAACGTAAGATACAGAATCATGGACAGATTTATTGATAGAAGATCACCAGGGGCATACTCCAAATAACATTTCCCAGGACCTCACAAGCATCAGAATGAGAATGTAAACGGAAGATTTACTCTAGATGCAAACTCTGGGGAGAGTCAGAGGCTCTAATACTCGAGGAAGAGGAAAACAGCTACTATGACTGATTAGGAAACAAGTTCGGCATAAAAACTGCCCAGTAAATGGGGAAGAACTACCTACGCGGCAATGAAAAACCTACAATAAGACGGACGTTTATAAACTAACAAAAATATGTCAAAACGGATAACTTGGTCAACGTAGCAAAATAAAAGACTTGAATGGCGGAGTGTATAAATCCATATAACAAAGTGCAGTATAAAAACAACTAAAAGGAAGATGAACTTACAACGCATTATAAGATTCTTTTCGGTTACCCATTAATGCGATAGCATTGTAAGTACACGACTATCACAGCAGACTTTATACCTCGGTCAACACCTGAAATTTAGCAGGCCAACAGGAGGGCAGCGGTAAGCCTCACATTTATTTCATCACAAAACAATTAAGGCAGAAAATTTCAGAGTACATGCAATAAAAACACGTAGCACATCAGTGTAATAAACTCGCGCTCAGGGCAGTAGATTTTCATGGGAAGATTAAGCTTATCGATTCATTATCCGTGCTAAACAGTCAATAATACATCCACCAAAAAGAACTAGTGATGCTTCACTAGAAATTCCAAGATAATGATATCCGGCCATCATGTAGATATTGGCCACACAAAAACAAAGCAAATCACTCTGGCGACGGGAGATTGTTGACAAAGGCATCATTGATCAACGCCACCCCAAAACCCTCCCGTGCATTAACAATAGACCTCCATTCTGATAACAGATTACATCCATCAGCACATATAATCTTCTCACAGACATCACATAAAGGGATAGAATTCAACATAGCCACGAAGAACGGATAACAAAGGGGCTACGAAGATGGGGGATCTGGGGAGGCACATCTAATGCCATTAAACAAAGATAGTTTTAACCACCCATTCACTCCTCTACAAATAATCGCATTTATTTCACCCTCCGTTATCTCAATTAAGCGGCTATTTTTTCGCATAATTTTATCATCTAATTCTATAACAACTAGTTCTATGAAGCTACTGCGCCTCCACGGTCCTGGTGGAGGAAGCCGGGTCTGCACGAGGTGCCGAGGGAGCCGAGTTGCCATGAGAGTTTACCCTGTGGAGCCTGCACTTGAATGATCCAGCGTGTGTCGCTGGGGCACAGACGCACTTCGGCAGGGTTCCTTCCACCCGATGATGCCCTTGAACGCAGGACATTGGGACCTGGGAGTCGGTAGGCCATGTCTTCTTCAAAGTGTTCGGCGATGATATGAGGTGAAAATGCACGCGGTGTTGACTCTTGTCCCCAGTGTCAACAAAGGTGGAGGCCATGGTTATCGTACGAGCCTGTTCAAACCAAAGAAAATGGCATGAGCAAGATCATCCCTCTCCTCCCCTATATTAGAGTGATGTCGTCCGCCCCTTGATGTAGAACATAAATGCTAACAGGTTGATTAGTAGATCAACTACGACTTCCAACGATACGATCTTTTACTGAACCAATAACAAGGAGACTGCCTAGGATAAGTACCTGAAAAAAAATAGACCAAACGATTCCATACGAGAAGCAGCAAATGAAGGCACCTTACTGAAGATGAAACCGATACGGAGCGAGCACAAAATACAGGAAATCTACAGCCGACATCCGCGTCAAGGAAAAAACCGGCAGGAAACAAAAATAGTTTAAAAATATACTGAAGGTGAAAGGGATCTACCTCCGATGGATCAGGCGGCAGTGAAGCAGCAAAACCTCCCCTGTTGATCTGCTGATCTGATCTGTTCAATGACTCCAACTGACTAGGTCCAACAAACTAGACGAATATTTGTTACAAATAGGCTAATGTAAAAGAAGCAGAGGAGGAGAGAGAAAGGAGAAACACGCGGGAAAGAGAAGCTGACAGTTACCGGAGAGGCAAACTAGAATCTCTGTGACGAGCCTCAACCTTATAGCCGGCCAATCTGCCCGGGGCAGATGCCCGAGCTTGCTGCCCGAATGGGCCCCACATGCACAGTTTTCCCGCGCCAACTCAATAAACGAAATTTAAATGGGCGTATCAGGATACGGAATCACTCACCCGATTGAATTCGGTGGAATTGTACGGTAAATGACACCCGGACGATTTCCACTGGCCCCCGGGATTTTTTAGCGCCTCGGTCAGAGGGTGGAGATAAGACAGCCAGTGGGGTCACTGCTTCAGTGGGTGGCAAATAGACAATGTCACGCAACGCTTGGGCGCCAAATTGACAGTTGAAATTCTAAATTGCAAAAAGGTGCAGATATTCTACGATGCCCCACAGAGAAGAATGTTCGATCAGCGTCCACTTATTAAGTATAATTCTTTTTTCGCGCCAAAAATTATAAATCAGATAGATACTTCTGTCATTAAAAGATATCAGCAACCACCGAATCCAAACTCAAATGTCATCAGGTGAGCTGGAAATATCTCCCAATGTGGTCCACTCTATATGCTAAGACACGACTTTCATGTGCAATAGCAAGCGGATAATGAGCTTGGAGTGAGCTGGGCATTCATGATCTCTTCTTGTTGACTTTGGAGTAGTACCCTTTTGCTTTGCCAATTTGTCAAACTATTGATATAATAACAAGATCATAAAAGTGATGTTTCTAGATTTTGCATCTTCTCTTATATTTTATGTTTCAATTTGAATAGCACAAGTAAACTATTAATCTTCATAATAGTTGAGATTGAGGATAGCACTTAAAAATCTTTTTGTTTTCCCTTATCTACCAAATTCTCTTGGCAAAGATGGACTCAACCATGGCCTCCACAACTCTTATGAGAGTTGTACATTCAAAACTTTGGGATGAGATGAAATACATTCTGTTTGTCTTTCCTAAAATTGTGTAAGCTAGAGCAGGGGCAGCTCTAACTTTGAGTCTTGTGGATTAACAAGTAATCCCAAGTTAGCTACTTAATAATAAAAAACTAGAGATTAGTCATCGTAATAATTGAAAACTAGAGGATAAGGTTTCATCATATCTAGAAATTAATGAACAGCCTTCTTTGCACCATAAAAGAAGACGTTACTACAACCCAAAACATGGTGAGTAGATCTTGAGTTTAAGATTAACAAAACAAAGTGAGAGGACTCACCCTGGTTGGTGGCATATAAAAAAACTGAACTCTATGTGCATTATGCAATTAGTTTCTTCAATTATTATTTCCCCATAAGTGGCTTATCAATTCAACCCCTTTTGGCTTCTCATATGAGTCATTTAGCACCAACACTTTATACATGATACTCAAAGTTAAGTGTAGGTGAAAAATTAGTCCAATGAAACTTAGACTAAATGAATAATTGTGATCCCATTTGGATTCTCATTGTCAACCTATTAGGGATCATGGCATGAATAGCTTAGGTCCTTAATTTTTTGACTATCTTAGTAGTCAAACAACCTCAACCCATTTATTGCCCATAACCCATTTGATTTTAGCAAATTTAACCTAATTTGTAAGGGTTATGTGCCTACTAGAATAGAATTCAGTTTGTTTCAAACAAATCTAAAGATTTCAAGCAATGGAGATGTTGAAGATAGGCTAGTGATGGGTGATCTAACTATTTGATCTTATCTTTTCTTATACCCATTTTTATTTAACAAAAACACTTTGATTTTTGTCAATCTATGAGATTTTAAAGATGCCAAAAATAGGCACACTTTTACTAATGTAAACATAATTATTTGATTCCATGGTTTAATAATTGTCACACTCTTACATTATCCTAAAGATTTCTAATTGATCTCCAAATGAAATGATAATTGTAATTAGGATAGAACTAAACTCCATAGAAAATTACAATCATATCATATTAGATTTATAGTGGCTATTTCCTCTTGCTCTATTCACACTCAAAAGCCAAAGATATACCAACTAATTAGGCATGGTGAAAAAAAAATTAATTAATTGGATGTTGGAGTAATATAAAAAAATAATTTTATTAATGTAGCAGCATTAATTTGCTGTATTTTTATTCTTTAAGACAATCCATATTTTGTATAATTCATTGATACCTTAGAAATACATTCAAAAGGAATGCTCCCTCATGCTATATTAACATAGCTCATGACTTCAACTTTTATGCATCGAAATTATTAGTTTCTTGTCTTTATAAAAACTTGAGGTAAAGGATTTATCAATTTTCATTTAATTTTGATAAAAACTTCATGTCTTAATTTATTTTATTTTATTTCAAAAAGACATCTCTTGAACAAAATCTGTCTCAATAAAATAAAGAAGGGAAATGTTGGGGGTGGATGTTTTAGACCTTTTCGATTAGGCTACCTATTGGGTTTGAATAAATCAATCAATGAGCATCAAAAGAGAACATGAAATATTACACAACATGCCAAAATATCAATGTAACAACTTCATGGTATCACATAAGTGTTGCATGAGTGTTGCACTAATTTTTCTAGTGACAACCACATGAGTGTTACACCTTAATATTTGTTATATGAGAGATGAGTGGAGAGGCTTAAGCTAAGGCATAGGGTGTTGAAAGTTGGTACTTAGATCGGTGTATTGACTTAGGCATATGGTATTGAGAGTCAAATCTTATCCATGAGGGGCATAATCTTCATGAAGATCAAACATAAGTGTTTGGGATACTTATCTTGTGAAATCAATTGTATTTTTAGAAGAAAAAAGTAAAATTCGTATAAAAGTCCTTGAAGATTTGACATAGACTGGTGAAGGGTGAATAAATATAAAAACTCTTATGTTCCCCATAGTTACAAGTGAAAGATAAAGATTAGAGTGAATAATGAAGAAAATATGATTAATTTAGATAAAATCATACACACAACTTAGAGATTGTGTGAGAATGTGTTGACACATACTCATAGAGGCATAATAATAAAATATAATAGAAAATTATAGGAAACTAATTCACCCTCTCTTCTTGGTGTTCCACTTAGTCACATCGAACTCAATAAATACAACTCTATATTCAAATATCAAGGTAGGATAATAGCTTAACATTTTAATATTAATATTTTATTTTAAGCTATTGGCCTCAAAAAAATCCAATCGTCATTGAAATTAACTACAAGTGTTATATATTTACCACTATGAACCTAAGCAAACTCTAAATTCTTTCAACGATAGTTTATGAATACAATTTGAAGGCCCTAGGATAGCTAGAGTACACCAAACATTAATTAATAATGATAGTCCTCTACCACCAAGACTTAGAAAATCCTTAAACTCACCTTGATTTATGATTTTATAGAGTAAAAGGATGACTTTTGAAAAAATAGAATGTACCTAGCACTTAGTGCTAGTGTTACTTATCTACTATTAAGAATTATAAGATCAAATTAAGAAACTTTAGAAAACTTGCGACATTTCAAATCATGGTTTTTACAAATTGTGGAGCATGGTCTTGAATGTAGAATCTTTAACTTTTTATAACATTTTCTTTTCCTTCGAAAATTTTAATCATAGTAATATAAAATTGTTGTTGAAGTATTTAGCAAATGAATGAGTTTTGTTTTAATATAAATTTCTCTTTATTTTTTGAAGTTCCAAGTGTCATAAATCTGCCCATCTATGGCCAGCCTTTCAACTGTTTATGATATCAAATGATTGACTTGTTGTGCATATATCATAACTTTCACATAGGTACTATATCACTCTTCAAAATTTCACCTTTCCTTCTCATATTCAGATTCCTCACTTTAAGGTGATATGCCTCAATTTCTCTAAATAAAATATTAATAAAACATAGTTCATCAATCCTAAATTTTCCTGAGACCTTTCCATAAGCTAGTGAAATAGAACTGAAACATTTTTGAGTCATAAAAAAAGTTATCATATTGTGAATTACTTATTTACTCTCACATACTTTTTGTCACATCAAAACACATTGGTCCAAAAGCTAGCACATGAAACTAAGATATCATCATCGCTTATTGAAAGAAAATGTTGAGGAATGCAAGAGAAAATGAAATCAAAAACAAAAGAAAATGCTTAGATTATTCAATATTTATGATATTTAATGATCTTGTGATCTTATGACTAAAAAATGAATCCAAAGAGTTAATCCTTAAGATTATTTAATTTCTTACATATGTTAGAACTAGCCTCGAAATGTAACATTCTAGATTCCATATAGAAGTATAGTAAGTTTAATATCAACTCACAAGATCAAATATTTAGAAACTCAAGAAATATCAAAGTCATCACACGTGAGTCTCAAACTTGGAATTTGGATGATGATATATCTGCAGCTTACATAGGGACAACAACATATCAAATGTGTTTATCTAGACTTGACCTCAATAAGAAAACTTTTTATTAACATAAAAT